TAAACTTGTTACTCTACAATTGGTGTCCTTGTGGTTGTATGAAGGTAGTTATGTAATGTAATTTATAAATATCTCCAAAATTAAGCAATTTAATATCAGCAAATTAAGCTATCTCATACCAGGTTGAAAAATGTCTTGAAAATATTTAAAGTAAGACACCGAGAAAAGTTTTCAGCGTTAGGGAACAAAGCAGTATTTCTGTCATGCGTGACCTATTGTAAGTTTATTGTGATGAAGAGATTTGTCAAAATCAAATATAATGTATACATAATGCGACCCATCGTCCTCCTTTAGGAAGGGCAGTCTTGTCCTTCCTTGAAGTGTCCTCCAATCTCTCCTTTTCGATATTTTCAAACTAATCTGTTAATCTCTGTATTCAGAGATGTCGTCTGACGTCATCTGACAGAACAATTCGGAAATAATGTATATTTGGTTATTAGTCAGATCGGGGGAATTTCGAGCGTTTTCAGTAGTTTCAGATTTTTTTGGACAAGTGAGAAATCAAGATTGAATGTTGATTCTCTAACTGCAGCACTTACCGTAAAATTCAATACGAAGGATATTTCTTGCTCTGAAATTTGCAATATGTTGTTAGAAAATGATGTACTGATAAAAATATTGTTTCAATGGAAAAATACTCTCTGCCTCTGGGCCTGCGTGTTTTGGTTCAGTTGTCTCCCCTAGCCTTTGGAGATGCCTCTCCTCTCTGTAAGGCAGCAGTTTGGTTTTCTGCCATTTCCTTTCCTCATACCAAGGCTCCTCGCCCTCGCCTGCTCTCATTAGCTGCTCCGCAAGCTCTCGCGTTTAGAGAGCACCCCAGGGCCGCTACGAGGAGAGAGCAGGACTTGCTGACTTTTGACCCAAATCGCGTATTCCCATTAGAGGATGGCACTACTCGTATTTTAATGGTTCTTGCTTGTGAGCATAGTCCCCGCCTGACACAAGTCAGCCCTTTGACCCCCAATAAATACTCGTTTGATTAAATAATTAAAAGGGATGAAAGCATGATAAGTTGGTTTTCTTTTGTTTGAATCAATAAAATGTTTAATTCATTTCATTTCTGCCTTCTTACATTTTTTCGTCCTTTTCATTGCAAAAAAATGATCATCACTCTTCACACTTCACCTTAGTATACAATAATTGTTTAAAAACAGAAGACATACCTTAGGAGCTGGGGTATCTGTGATTGTTAGTTCGCCAACACCAGCGCAATGAATCACATTTAAAAATTCGTAGGAACTATCCTCGGGGGCAGATTTTCGTTTAGGCACAGGACGTATGTTCCTACGGCGACAAAAATTATGGACTAAAATTGTATCTATAGAGCCTCTTCTTGGCGGGCGATTTTTCTTTCCTTTTTTTTTTTTATTTGTATTCTATGAGTTTTTGAACAAAATGATTTACTCGCAAATTAATTTGTTATCAGGCTTGATAGGATTGTGGTATGTAAAAATGAGCGATGTTTATATTTTTCAGAAGTCGTACAATTAAGATTTAATTACAATTATCGAAAGTCATGTTGCTTCTATTCCGATTGTTTATCGAAATTCTTAGAACTTACAATTCTCTGATGTAGTCAGTGTTGCTAGATCAGCAGAATTTCCTCAAGATTTGGCGAGGTATTAAATTATTTATATTATAAATTGTTAAGTAATGTAATTTTGATAATCTGTTTCTACAAAAAGCCTTTTGAATCTATGTTATTCTTAACCATCAAAATACACTAATAACATCAATGATTTAAAAATTAATTTATTCCCTAAAGAAAAAAATTGAACACAAATTATTAATTAAATCAGATTTATTTTAGTCATAAATATCTGTGTACAAGTTTGAAGCATCAATTATACTTGTTATTAATAACTTTTTTTGGAGTTATTTGAAGAAAAAAAATTGCGACAATTTTGCGGATGCTTATAGGGAACGAAGTCGTTAATCCGCCCGAAATATACTCTCTGAATCCGCCTATGACTATCACGCATTTTCTTTTCATTCATATTTCAAAATTTTAATTTAAACTCTACATCTTGAGGCATATTTCATTTATTCCCAATAACTATTAGAATTTCACATTCTAGTTAAATCATTATTCGCAGTGTAATCAAAACTAAAAAACCAGTGCTTAAAGCAAGATATAAACTTGCTGGTTCTATGAGGTACATTGAATCTGTCTAATAATGAATCATTACTGACAACCAATTTACAAATAAACTTTGTCATTCATTTCTCACCATTTTCAATAATGTTGAAATTGCTACATTATTATGTTAAATGAAAGAATAATAATGAAAGAGTAATAAATCAACATGTCAAACTCTCTGTACATACTCTCTGTGTCAAACGGTCATTCTGAAAAACACGTTGAACTGTTTCTAGGCGTTTTATATGAATATCGAAGATGGAGTTCCAAATAGGAAAGGAAAAAAGCAGTAACTTAAAGTATAACAAGAGATAAATATGACGTTTTCAGAAACCTAACTGACTTCAGTTCTTAACCACACTCCTTTCGATAAATGATAAAATTTGATTTAAGTTGATGTATTAAATTATTTATCAATATGTTATGTGAATTTAATTTCGTAATAAAAATTACACTCAGGTCTCTTGACGTTGACAATTTTTTTACATTTGGATTTACATTTCTAGAATGATGAAAAGTAATTGGTTAAACTCTTTCGGAAACTTATCAATGCCACGCATATAACTCGTTATTGGCATTTTTCAAAACGTCATATATACACCGCAATACACCATCTACAAATTTATACAACGCAAATAAAAATTCAACGTCCTTAAATATTCAGCACACTGTATTAATAGAAGGAATGAACAAACGAAGGCCCAAACGTTTTTCAGAGTACTGAAGGGGGAAATGTGTAAGTCAGGAATAGCATAATTGAAATTGAATATAATAAGCAAAAACAATATTTGTACATTGGCACGCTCCATTCTTGATTCTGCTCGCAAGAACTGATACCAGCGTTACTTTTAATTTACTTAGTCAAAGAGCAGTAAAATCTGTATGTGACAAATGCGGGAGAAGTACCATCTGCGCACATTTTTTTGAGCTCCAGAATCTCTTCCCAACATTTTAATTATAAATAGTTGAATGATGGATACAAGTTTAAAAAAAGCGAAGTTGTAGAAAATATTTGCATCGGCAAACAAACTGCAGTTTTTGTTTTGCTAACAAAAACATAGTAACACATCTCCGACTCTACTCCCACCTCTTCTAGCAAAAGGTCAGGGCATAATGTGCGCATCAGAGAGTATCAGGTGCGCATAGTGAAGCTACATTTATGCCCACGAGCGAAACATGAAGCCATTTCAGCATTTGCTCAATGAATCAGAGATAACTTGACAAAAACCTGATCGAGACCGAACACTGAAGAACATTACTTGTTTCTTAGAAGACACGCGGTCTAGGCCGGTCAAATCCGGTGGAAAAGATAGCACGGATATTCGTACTATAGTCAGTCCTTTAAGCCTGTCACAAGCGCTGGGTTCACGCGCGTCACCTGATGACGTCAGCGCTTAACGCGCGTTGTAGATTAACTTTGAATCTTGTGCTAAACGGCACACGGGCGCTCTCGGCGACGTGTGTTGTGCCCACAGCTCAAGCTACAATGCGCAGCTGACGTCATCAGCGTTAGGTTACGCGCGTCAACATAGGGATCGTGTGGCATAGGTCTAAATGTCATTATAAATCTTTGATTCCCTGGAGGTTCAAAATTTCCTTTAAATACTCCGAATTTGTATTGTGCAATGTTGGTGAGCATTATGTCAAGCCGCGCCGGACTACACTTTTGTCCGAATATGTTATTATTGATAAACATGAAAATCTTATTATTCATAAACATAGGTCAATAAAGTATTAAAGTTTCAACACTAGTAAATGTGTGTAAAGTGTATTTGTGATTGAGCAGGAATGTGCTTGCGGCACACGCGTTCTCTCTCCACTGGTGACGGTGAAAATAAGGCCTGCACGTACCGCATAGTTCTCGCCGAAGGCAGATTCACTACGACTACATTCGTCCACAACCCGTTCAGTAGCTGCTCGTGGAAGGCCAGGCAGCGCACTTCCCTCCACGATCTCCGTGCCGAGGGCAGCGGTGTCCGCAAATGCGAACGTGAGCGCGGAGGCTGCTCGACGAGGCGCGAGGCCGGCGGTGTGGCCTTCGGCCTCTCGCAATTGCGTGCCGGCGGGGGGTTGGGGGCGGCGCTGCGGGCCCTTCAGGGAACGCGTGCGAGGAAGCGACGGCGCGCCAGTCGGGCGCTGTACGGAACAGATGTATTTGTTTGTACCCAAAATATAGTTTAATGTGGTTACAGCGATATAATCTCACAAAAATTCCACACAAAAAATTGAGTTCATCTTTCTGGGGGGAGAGGGAGATCCCTTGACAGACTTCCACAAGAACTCCAGTCATATGAGCCTGGAGCAATATTGCCTATGAGCAATGGAAAAAACGCTGCCAGAGGGGAGTTGATGCCCAAGGGTCATATTTCGAAGACTTTTAGTTCGCTGTACAGAAATTAACATACATTATATATGTTTCACTGACCTGCAACAAGTATTGTAGTATAATTTCTAGGCAAATGATTCAATCACAATCAGGGTTTGTTCAGTTTCCCTGGTCCCTTGAGCAAATGCTGAGATGGCCCCTTGTTTGCTCCTGAACAGTAATGTAACTTCACTCTCTCCACCCACAAGACATCATATTGACTGGTCATACACGATTGTAATTGTATATGACTCCATAAATATTATTATTATTATTATTATTATTATTATTATTATTGTTGTTGTTGTTGTTGTTGTTTTGTAGTTGTTGTTGAAACAAGTTGATATTTTGGTATCTGGCTTCATTTAAAATTCCCGCGAATATTGTGACAAACTGGTGCATGAGACTCATTGGCTGAAGCCATTGATGTATACGAAGCTATGGTATAGCCTGTTCCTGCGACATTCAAATATTTCAATATCGATATTTTCCACCACTGAATGCTGGGAAATCTCATGGGCGCTTTGCCGGTGGTGTTTTCGTTGCACTGCATTGCACGAGATCTTGGTGAATGGTGTTTATAGAGTTTTGTGATATTGCTGTAAAACTAATAGCGTTGCAATAATGAATGCTATGGGGAGGCTAAATGCCTCGACAGAAATCATTCCTCTTCAAGGACCAAGTGGGCGAAATGAAGCTAGGTTTCGCCAGAACTTTCGGCCTAAGCCAAAACCTTATTTTGTGGATCCGCATATTGTACCTAGAGTTAAACAGGTATGCCGTCAAGAAAAATAAGTATTCTTGGGTGGTTTTAACCATGCTTTCGAATCCGTAAAATTCAATTGTTGCGTTCACTCTGAATTTGATGACGACGACAAAATTTAAAAGACGTGAAAGAAATTCTTGTCATTTCCATTTGTTTTCATTAATTTCATTTCATAATTCTCATATATCTGTGTTTTCTAAGTTTCGAAAACTGTTTACAATATAAAGGTAGAAAATGTTTTATTTCTTCGATTTCCTCCTTCCTTAATAGCCTCATTACTGTTACTACTAAGACTGCACAGAAGTAACCTGTAACCTGAGTTTTCCATTCTTATGATTTGACGTAAATTGTTTATGTAATGACACTCGTGGTTAATATCATAAAAGAAGAGAGAGAAGTTGCGGAGAGGAACGAGATTTTTTCTCTATTGTTTAGGAATGAATTGAAGTTTTAGAAAACGTATTCTACCTTGACAATTTTCTTCTTTCTTCTGATGCCAGATCTAATGTATCTCTTCAATATCAGCTTTTTTCTGTTTGCTGGGAATATGTGGGTTTCAGTTACTCAAATTTCATCTGTTTTATTCTTCCTCAAAGCTGTCTGTTAATTTCTGCAGTGACAATTAACAAAATTGGAGATAGATTAATTTATTTCTTGTGTTAATTTTTTTTAACGAGAAAGACCTGAAATAATCAAACAATGTGTAACTTAGATTGTTATGTGAACAACAAAAACTAAATCTAGCCTAATCTGTTGCTCTGATCTACTCTCTTGGAGCAATTGTCAATTGGCTGAGCAGAGACAATTATAATCTATATATAATAATTATAAATACAATTTTGAGATAGAGTACCGTTGTGTGTCTCCAAGGCAAATAGTTCCAAACATATTTATTGTTGGTTCTATAATTTAATGAAAAATGCCTCTGATTCTGAGTACCCTTCTTTGTTGATTGTCAGAGTATGATTTTGTATGTGAGTGTGTGTGTGCTATTGTTTGTCCCTGCTAATCCGAACCCCGCAAATCTGAAATTTCGGATAATCCGAACAATCTTCGGGATGGAGAAGAAAAACAATATAAATTAAATGCTTATTTGTAGTGTATAACATTGATTTTATAATTTCTGAACAACTAATTATAGAAAATAGTTGTCAAAATGAAATGTTTATTGCACTGGTAACTACAGTTTATAACACATGTTTATGTAGCAGTAATTTTCATGTATAGGAACTTCCAAAATCTGTAATCTTCTTTTGTCATAAGGAACTATATTCGTTTCATGATGCGATCACTATGCTACATTGCCATTATATCACATCACATGCTATGTTGCATTATTTGATAATCATATAGATGTATACGTAGAGTACATGTTTTTGGATTATCCGAACAGACCACGCTCCCAATTAGATTGGGATATCGGTGTTCTACTGTGTGCTATATCAGGATGGATCCTCTATAACTAAGCATTTCAAATATAAAAATATTTCAAGAGTATGTAAGTTTTAAAGGCAATATTTTGAAAAAATGATCATTGAATTATACAGGTATTGTATTTCATTGTAATTCATTGCTTAGATTAGCCAGCAATCAAGGAAACTTTTTGCACATAAATTGAATGATGTTAATGTTGAACAAACCCAATATTTTTATAGTGTAGTAAGGAACATTTCAGACATGAGTGAGAATAACATGTTTGAGAGATAAGAATTTGTTGGTAATGCACACTGCCTCTGCAGAGGTGTTCATTTTGTTATTGACTTATTGAATTATTAATTCGGCAGGTAATTGTTTACACAAAGGAAATTATAATGATATTTTAAAATCAATTTATAAATAAATGAATAAGCTCAGTTAGTAATAATTTATTATACTGTAAGTGAATGGAATATCTTCTGGTCTTTTTAAAACCATGGGAGTAATTGTTGATGGAAGAAAATTCTAAAGCCCTTCTGAGGCCCCTTTCCTATACTGAGAGATGTTTAGTTTGGTGTTAAGTGTGGTCATGCATAACTAGCGGGGATCGAATTCTGATGACATGTCATCTTGCATTCCAGAGGTAGCTAAGTTGTCAATGAATGTTTAGCACGCCATAGGTGATAGAAATGTATAGTTATTGCAGCATTTTTTGATTTTTAGGTCGTTTTTGTGGACTTTGCAAATTTTTTGCTCATTTTGTTTCCTTTTCGTTTTGTTTTTGTTAGTGAATGTTTCATTAATTTACATACATTAAAAAAATGTTTTTATTGTATCATGGGTCATGACTAAATTCAGTACTACAGTGGACTCTGTTTTTCAATCTCTCAAGTATATGGGTTTTTGGCAACTTCCTGGACCGTAACAAAACTGACAGTTGGAAGATCAAGCCGAGAATTACATTTCCTTCTAAAATAAAGATTTATATTAAGTTTTATATAAATAACTTTTATTTAAAATTGTAAAAGTCGTTGAATAACTTAACAATTACATATAAATATTTGGATTTTTTTTAACAGGTCATTTTACCCTTATTTTTAAGTAATTTTATAGGTAGTTTCCTCTTATTTGTAAGTCAAGTTTTAGGACATTTTCAAAGAATTGTCAAAATCTGAGTCCTGATAATGAGAGAATATCTAATATACGACAACATGCATATCAAGAGCATATATTGAGCTCTGTTATCTTAATTG